CAGGATTGATAAAAAACCCAGACAGCTCACTACTACGGGTTGAATCTTTCTTGGGGCTCACAAAGTAAGCTTAGCTTTCTAACATGAAGGATGAGTTCAAATGCCACCAGTCAACTGGTGGTCTAGTGGCGTATGTATGAACCGCCACCCGGTTGCTTTGGGGAAGCCAAAATGGTGTGTCCTGGTGCCTCACAGGCCTCCGATGACGATTCGACTGCATCCAAGCTTGATGAACCTGAAAGGGGAAGCTTAAGGATTGCTCTCTTTCATATCCATGGGTTCATTTAGGGCGTTCATGTAAGTCGTGCGGGTTTCCCACTTCGACTCCGCTGTTCACCAGCTGCCTGTGCCCCTCTTTGGTCAACGCCTCTACTTCTCTGAGGCCCGTCTTAGCTAAGAATAATAGTGACAGCGTCCATGCCAACAGTGCGCCTCCAATCATCCTTCTGTTTCCCTTCCAACAACAACGCGTTCTTTACAGAATCTCACCCAATCACCCGAATGCCCATCTGCTCACTTCCTGCGTCGTCCCCTTGGATCGATATCACATGCTTGGGATTACTAGCAACACCTCCAAAAACCCAGTTAAATACTTCAAACTACTGAAATAGGCCTTTCCGCTCAAATACTACATTTTTTCTCGCCCCCCCCCGGTCACCATCTGTTCTCAGCTTTGCTTTATTAATATGATGTTTACTACCTTTCACATGGTTTTAGCAAACTCAGCTACGGATTCTCTCCCACTTTCACGAACAATGAAAATATGATCAGTCTAGGATCAGAATATAAGGCGGAAGAACAAACCCAAACACAAACGGTTGTCGCTAGTTCTTCAAATAATGTGTCGATTCCCGCTCGACTGTGTCTTAGTTAAATGGGATTTTTCAGAAAAAGTTCGAATTTTGTGCTCATTGGGATAAACAACAGTCCCATGAATCATTTCTCTCCTTAAAAATCCAAAGTGCCTGGGAAGTTTTTTATAAAAACAAAGTAACGCCCGTTATTCAACATTCGTGACCATTCGAGCTGCTTTTGTTGCTCCCTGGGGTTAGGCAACCCACGTCTGTTTGAGATGCTATCTGATCTGATGAGTGACACGGAAGATTGCCGCGGTCTCGGAAGATCTGATTAGACAAGGCTCGGTGGGAAGAACACGAGTCTAGGACATACACGCTGAACTAGTTGGACTGAAAAAGCTCGAACGGGTGGCCATTGGTTGTTTTGGAAACACGCATCGGTCTGCACAGCTCATGAATTCACGTGGTATAAAAAACTTGTTTTGACCAGTTGCATACTACTTGCAAGTAGACAGTTTATTTTCTCTAATTAGTAATCGATTCTTGCCGGAAACCTGATCATTATGAAGCGATTGGCTTGCGATTTGGCAGGTGGTGTAGTAAATCTATGATTCTGTGCTCTTAGTAGGCAGGGTGTCTGGGTTTTGGCCGCATTTTTGATATCTAGGGGCAGGAGTGTGACACGATTAAGCACAAATGATGGTCTACTGTCCAGTCTGTCCGTTGATACGTGTCTCAAGACCTGTCTATAGTCTGCACTCACGGATCGTTCTTGTGAAATCTGAAAAATTCAAAAGAAACGTAAAGATTTTTACCACAAGAATTCGTATAATCGATGATTTTCCTGATCATGGTCTAAGAAGAGGAGAACGACGGTCTTGAAGTTTTTATGACATCCTTTAGTTTATATGGGATACTTAAAATATGCTACTGGTTTTTCAACATCAGCTTTGATCAAAAAATGCCAGCTGTCTGTTTATTGGCTTACATTCGGCGTACGGATGATATTCCTACCCTGGGTATCCCATTTTTGATTTCAAACGGAGTGACGCTTAATAGGCATGCCCTGGTACTAAAGGAAGTTATCGAATCAGTGTCAACGAAACGGACGAGTGAACATGCCTTCTCCAACAAATTTCGTTTCCAATATGGGCAGTTTCGGTGACAGCCCGAACAGTAAACGTTACCAATGAAGTTTTTTTTGGTAGACACTCCCGTCAAACGAAAGTCGGCCATTGGCTGATTGTTGACCTCCCCTTTGGTACATTGAGCCCAACGATTGAGGGACGATACAATTGACCACAAGGTCCGCGTTTCGATTGTCCTCATCTAGGCTTTAGCAGCCTCACACTACCTCAGTCCTTGTGCCTTATTCGAGTTGCACCAAAAGTGTGCCACCACTGAGCCCTTAATTTTACTAATATTACTGATACCACTAATATTATTTTCTAGTGTTGATGCCCTTATTATTATTACTATTACTAGACTCTTTTCAGCTATATTAATCGTGACAATTCGCAATCAAGCCGGAATAAACCAATAAGCATTGATTTGATGAGAGATAAGCATATAGTTTTCTATCAAACATGAATGAATGGCACTCAATCATTCCACACAGTTCTCACTGTGTGACAAGTGCAGGCGATGGGTTCCATAACCTCCCCTCCCGATCACCCACAAACAGACAACCCTAAGTATAACTGTCTACGTGTAGAGCCTTGTCAGCAGGCAAAGTTTTCCCAGCGATGAGCTTCTCTGAGTGTGGTAAGCTTTATTTGGTTTTTGGCTGGTTCTCTGAGCTGGGCAATTTGATTGCCAGCGGAATGCACTGCACCAACTTTCGGGCAAACCGACAAAGTTCCCCAGACGGTGAACAAGTAAAACTCGGAAAATAGGGAGGGCACAAAAAGCATTGGGGCATAATCTGGCTCCTTCTCTTTAGCGTTATCCAGACACTTCTCAGCAGAGAAAAAAATGTTAGATTCACCTGCCCCACATCCTTGGTTTTTAACGGAGAACTGGCTTTTCTCGTAACTCGCCTAGGTTCAAAAAGATTCATTTTTCCACAAACGATTTATGCACATAAACAGAAAAAACATTCGCATTTTAGGAAGATGTGATGACTACTCATGCGGAAAGACAGACATGCAGATATCCCGATGCTTCTCAAAACGCAATTTCTTTCGCAACATGTGAGTTTGTCGAATGTGGTGCATTCTATCTATTGATCACACGGACGTTCTACCCATGACTGCAGCAGGTAATGAAAAATCTCCGCAAATCTTTGAATTTCGGCCGATAGTGATGAGTGATTTTCAACTACGAGATGTCGTGAAATTGGGGAAGATACTACTTTCAAAGTCTCCAGTTTTAGATTCAGCCTTATAAGGCAGTCATTCCTAAGGAACGGATGGATGCTTGCTACCAATACCATGACAATCGTCGGCGGACCTGCGATGCGCATTTTGGACGCTGAAAGTCAGAAATCAAAATTATTGAAGTCTAGTCAGACTGACAGGACCAGAGAGCCATTCTATGGCGTGAACTTAGTCCTCTAGGTGGACATACCTGAAAACAAAGCAGCCGTTTGCAAGTGATGAACGGGTTTCCTCACGGTAAACTGCGTTCTTACCATCATGCGTTGATCGGCTGTTTTGTTGTGAGACGCTTGAAAATAGAAAATAAACACTTAAACCGAAACCCACAAAACCAAATGGCAATCCTGAATGCAATCGCTGCGTGCACACGGAGATTGTGGTTTCAGTCGATGGTTTCATTTAGATGTCTGGCCTCCGGCAGGATATGTCTTTCCACACATGAAGCCTCTTGTCCGTGACTCTGCGGTTTCTGGGTCTGCTTTGCTCGGCAGCAACACAATTCATCAGCCTTCCGGTGCTTAGCTGCCATGCCACCCGAAGGAAGCACGAGGGCTGATATACTTCCAGGTTGCCTAAGCATAGACGGGGGAAATCGAGAGGCGGAGGCCGGGTTCGAACCACGGACCTTTCAGTCAGTAGATTGACGCTCTACCAACTTGAACCGTGTCGTCTCACCTCATCGCTCCACACCAAAATTTGATACCCTGAAGCATTTCAACCCTGTGGGAGTAGTATCTCGGTGGCTAGATAAGAAATCAAGAGTAGGTAACCTTTCACGCGTCAAGCAGCAAATGAAGAGGACTCTGATAAGTCTTGCGGAAATATACCCCATCCGGTTCCAAATAATAAATATGTATCCTTTCAATTTCAACATCTTCCCGAGTCCTCTCAACTCTCGGCTGTCTCTGACTCAAACACCTTTCCCGTGTTGTAAACTCATTGGGGTAACTTTAAGAGCCAAAATGCTCTAGGCTTGATAACTCTAGGCTTTTCTACATTTCTAAGTAATGAAACCATAGTAGCTCATCTATCGATCCAATAGACACTATGCGAACTTTTTGTAAGAGAGTAAATCCTTTGGCCCAGAGTGCTCCATTCAAAATACTGTGCTTTGCTTACGGCATATTCGATGCATTCATCCTGAACACATGTCCAACACATGGCCCACTGTCTGGTCCGATCTGAATTCTGGTCAATCAATAAAGGTCACGTGAGGACTCCAGTGACGCGGTCCAGATTGCTTTTATTTGTTTCTACGGCAGATGGGAGTTTCAGTCTAAGTTGTTTCAGAAAGTATTGGAGGGCACCTTTACGGATGGTTTACATGGTGCGCTGCAGAGCACTCCGAACTTCGGATTTAGTAGGATCACGATCTGACTGCATGCCTTAAGATATCCCTCAAACTTAAGATTGGTTGCAAACCAACGAACTTTTGAGAGAGTGATAAAAGTGAGAAGAATATGCACAGCGGTATGCTGACCGGATAACTTACGAACTAATACGATTTGTGATGTGGACTGTAGTGGTTTTGACAACTGCAGTTGCTGTTCGTAGTCGTTTCCCTTACATTATACCTTGTTTTTTTCCATTTCATGTTTCGCTTTTCAATTCAGAAAAAAGATCATCATACTGAGCGCTTGTTATTTGCGATAATAATGGTAAACTGTCAATGTTTTTACTGCTTCTGTACGCCTTATGTGCGCTCATATGGGAACATCAGATGACCGTTTATTCGATCGATAACATTATTGATCAACCAGATGGCTTTCAAAACCCCTGTAAAGCAGAACAGTGAAGATCAGGCATGTCTTCGGATTGATTCGGGATGGCGGACAAAGTGAAATCGAAGGAATGTTCAACGGAAGTTACGCTGACCATTCCTCCTATCGGTCCAAGGGAATACATTCACAACTTGATCCCACAGATTAGGCCGGACATTTTGTCCAGATACCCGTGTTTGCCGAAAATTCGTGTTGACAAAAAGAAATTGGGTGACCCACCGAAAACATATCCCATGAAAACAATGGGTCCACCAAGTAAAGATCGACTGTCTCCACTGGTCTATCCGAATAAACATTCATTTATGAAGAAACAAAGCAAAAAACCCTACGTGAAATTAGTGAATCACACCGTGCAAGATTGTCTGAGAGCACAGGAAAGACAGAGAGCTGAAGCCGCGCTCAAGTCTGAGTCGGCGGACACAAAAACCACAGAAAATGCCACGGCTGACATACCTCAGAAATGTCTGAAACGTGTACGCAACAATGTGAATTGGGTCACACGAAACGCAATTTCAGCCATTACCGCTGAACCGGGATTCAGGTATCCCAGAGGAAGCCGGAGACAAATTGTGGACACTCGTAAAGGAGATAAATATCGTCTGATATCGGAAAGGACAACCTCCGGGTTAGAACCAATCTATGCTTACAGGAAAGGTTTGGGCAAAGTACCAGCTTATATCATCAAACGGAATAGAATGATCAAGGAAACGCAAGAACTATTGGCCAAGTACATTAATGAAAAGGAACTTCAAGCTACAGACTACTTACTGACCGATAAGCAGAGAGAGGAATTGCTAACTGGACTCAAAGCAGCATGGGACCGTTACAATCGCAAATATTTGGGACTCGCGTCGATCAACGATACCTTGAAGGGTAAAGCGTACAAGGCCTTTTTGGAGAAACAATTGGATTCACTCAAAGAGGATATAGAACTGGTAGAGAGTCATCGATTTTTATTTGTTGAAGCTGAGAAAGATCCTTCTGGTGACGGACGGAAAGTGATGAACCATATTTGCGTATGATGTCAAATGCAGACACTTCCCACTGTACTTCTAAAGCATTCCAACTCCAGAACCGATTTACGTGAATATGCTTTGGATACATGGAATCATAGTGGCAACCTAAACTTATGACTTTATAACGTTGTTGCCGTCTGTTCCTCATGATTTTTCACCGGGCATCCATTTCCCGGAACACGATGACAGGTCTGTTGCCAAAGGCAAAAGAGGTTAAGCGAAGTTTTTTTCTTGATTAGGCCCGCCTTCTCTCCACTTGTGGGTAGTTAGGTGAAAGGATCAGAACAGAAACCCCTACATTCACATCATCATCATCATCATCATCATCATCATCATCATCATCATCATCATCATCATCATCATCATCATCATCATCATCATTATCATCCGAATCATCATCATCATCACCATCATCTGAATCATCATCATCATCATCCGAACCATCATAATCCGAGTCATCATCATCATCATCCGAATGATATTCATCTTCCGAATCATCATCATCCGAATCATCATCCGAATCATCATCATCCCCAGCATCATCATCATCATCATCATCGTCATCATCATCATCATCATCATCATCATCATCATCATCATCATCATCATCATCATCATCATCATCATTATCACCATCATCATCATCATCATCATTATCATCCGAATCATCATCATCATCATCATCATCATCATCGTCATCATCATCGTCGTCGTCATCATTGTCATCATCATCCTTATCATCACCATCATCCGGATCATCCGAATCATCCGAATCATCATCATCATCGTCGTCGTCATCATTATCATCATCATCCTTATCATCATTATCATCATCATCCTTATCATCATCATTATCATCATCGTCATCATCATCATCATCATCATCATATTAGACAGATTTTGACAAAGACGCTCATTTGCATGTCTATTCGGTTTCGGCAGGAGTCCCACCTGTAACCCAACTGAACCACTCGTTTATGGTTTTGTCAAAATCTGTCCAATCTTGGATAGAGTAGAATATAAGTTTGACAGAACCTCGGAGACTGTCCCCAAGAAGCACGTGACCGTTTGAGGCCTGTCGAGGAGTTTTCAGCAGCAAAATGTATACATGGTATCGCGATATCTCGAATATTGTACCAACTGAAACATGATGGGGCCTGGTGCGGCACATTTAGTTGTTTGAGAAAATGATAAATAGGAAATTCAGTTGGGCTCCAGGTGAGTCTCCCTTGAAAAACTAATTGACATGCAATTGATTGTATGCTCCGAAATCCCATCTAATAACATTTAAAGCCTTAGAGTAAAAAGGAAGAGAAAAGCGGGTGAGGGAGGGGACCTGGCGCTGACCCATATCATGCATTCTGAGGTGCATGCACCTCCAAGCGCTCACTCAAACAATCTGGAGAGATACTGACAGCACGAACGACACTGACATCGATCGACCGCAAAGGAGTTTTCGCAAAATGTATACATGGTATCGCGATATCTCGAATATTGTACCAACTGAAACATGATGGGGCCTGGTGCGGCACATTTAGTTGTTTGAGAAAATGATAAATAGGAAATTCAGTTGGGCTCCAGGTGAGTCTCCCTTGAAAAACTAATTGACATGCAATTGATTGTATGCTCCGAAATCCCATCTAATAACATTTAAAGCCTTAGAGTAAAAAGGAAGAGAAAAGCGGGTGAGGGAGGGGACCTGGCGCTGACCCATATCATGCATTCTGAGGTGCATGCACCTCCAAGCGCTCACTCAAACAATCTGGAGAGATACTGACAGCACGAACGACACTGACATCGATCGACCGCAATGCCTCCGGCTAATCACAGGTGGGGTTACGAGGACTTCATCCTGAAAGGCGTGCAACATCAACAACACCCAGACGCTTCGTGATCTCTTGCACACTTTCTCGTCATGTTAAAACCTGCTTCAGCGACGTGGCACAGTGGTACTGACTAATGACTTTCTGGGTTTTTAGCTACTCGTGAGTAGTGTACAGGTAAAAATATGATAGAATCTTGGTGCGGTCTCGCGCAGGTCTTATAATTTCTTCATCAACAACACCAATGATGTACAATCAGGATTTCATGAGAAGCTAGTAACATCCTGCAAAAAGCATTTAGACGTGCTCACGCGGTTTGAGAAATCTAGAAGGACAACGTAAGGTGTAGTTCCGAATGATCAGCAACGGTAGAAATCTGTCGTTCAAGCAAGGAAGCTATAACAAAGGTGGATTTGTCGGTCCGGAAGAGGTAAACGACAGATACACAAACGGTTACGCCCGGTTTGCATCATCATCGACAGCATGAAATGATTGTTCAGCACCCATACTTAACTGCCGTACAACCGCGATTTATTTGAAAGCCTTATTGTGAAGAAAAGAGTAAAGGCGGCCGGGGAAGGGACTTAGTGCTAGCTTACCACAATCATTCCGAGGTGCCTACACCTCCAGACATTCACTCGGGCAATCTGGATAGAAACTGACAACAAGAACGCCACTGACATCGGTTGGCACCCATATCTTGTAGTGTCTCCAACCAGGCACAGTGAGGACAACGCGGTCCCCATCCTAGAAGGCGAGTAGCACCGACAGCACCCAAGCGTTTCGTGATCCCCTTCATGCTCTTCTGCCAAGTCAAGTGTTGGCCACCTCTCTGTTTACACCACCGTGTGTTGAGCATAGAAAACAGCACTCTCTTCGGCAAGCGCAACACATGTCCCAACCAACGCAGCTTCTGGTGCTGGTTCGGGAGTGTGGTCCTGGTGCTTTCATTCGGTCTACTGGACGTATACAGAGCCAGCTGGGAGATTAGATGATGTGGAGGTGCTTTGATGCCATTATCCCAATTCACTCAGCTATGGTGCGGTGCTGTGGTTCATGTCCGTAATTCAAAAAGGAGTTAAACAGCGGGTGACGACGATAACGAACTAGCCTTACCAATGATGGTGGAACTCAGCCAGCGCATGATAAGTTAGAATGAGTCTATGTAAGTGAGAGCGCTGCTACAAACCCAATGTCCATAAGACGAGCTCCAGTTATACCACCGGGATTCACGACTGGCAGGGAGTCAATTCTCGAGTGCGATGATTTCCAGCATCTCCAAGACAACTGTTCCAGAAAAGCCTTCCACCCTTGGCACAGAATCGTCAACTAAACGACGTAGTCCTTTGCGGAATCGTGCAGCAATTCATTTCTCGGTCCCCTCAGTCGTTAGGCTTCAATGCTGAAAGTAGCATTTTCCATTTCACGACCCTGGGACAACCTCAGATTCTCCTGCATCACATGAAGTGACGGCTGGGCTAACTTATTCTCTTCTAGGTCTCACAGTCAACTGAGTCAAGTCTAACATTAGCTCTGTCTGCGATTTTTAACCCTTGTCAAAAATTGGCAACTTTCGATGTGTTTCGCGCCCATGTGAACCAGCAGGAAAATCACCAGAGATTCCACTTCATTCATCGTTATATCCAGAAAAGTATCAGATACCATTGAGTGTGGTCCTGGTGCTTTCATTCGGTCTACTGGACGTATACAGAGCCAGCTGGGAGATTAGATGATGTGGAGGTGCTTTGATGCCATTATCCCAATTCACCCAGCTATGGTGCGGTGCTGTGGTTCATGTCCGTAATTCAAAAAGGAGTTAAACAGCGGGTGACGACGATAACGAACTAGCCTTACCAATGATGGTGGAACTCAGCCAGCGCATGATAAGTTAGAATGAGTCTATGTAAGTGAGAGCGCTGCTACAAACCCAATGTCCATAAGACGAGCTCCAGTTATACCACCGGGATTCACGACTGGCAGGGAGTCAATTCTCGAGTGCGATGATTTCCAGCATCTCCAAGACAACTGTTCCAGAAAAGCCTTCCACCCTTGGCACAGAATCGTCAACTAAACGACGTAGTCCTTTGCGGAATCGTGCAGCAATTCATTTCTCGGTCCCCTCAGTCGTTAGGCTTCAATGCTGAAAGTAGCATTTTCCATTTCACGACCCTGGGACAACCTCAGATTCTCCTGCATCACATGAAGTGACGGCTGGGCTAACTTATTCTCTTCTAGGTCTCACAGTCAACTGAGTCAAGTCTAACATTAGCTCTGTCTGCGATTTTTAACCCTTGTCAAAAATTGGCAACTTTCGATGTGTTTCGCGCCCATGTGAACCAGCAGGAAAATCACCAGAGATTCCACTTCATTCATCGTTATATCCAGAAAAGTATCAGATACCATTGAGCGCTTCTTTATAAAATATCCTCTTTAGCCTTCGCCCCAGCCTGAAACAACTACAAAGATACATTTCATCTCCTCGATTTGGAATTAACCGGACAGTCAATTTCACTAAAACGAAACGCTACAAGTCAAGCAAAACCTTAATCTGTTTCCCCTAACCGCCTAGTCAACACTGAGTTCGAGTTTAACTTTACACGGTGAGAAGTCTCGTTTTTATCATATAATATAACTTATTACATGACACTTGACGTACTTATGTGAATAAACGAAACAGTTTGTGGTGGTATGGCATTTAAAAAACAACTTTTGGCACTGTTTGCATGTACTGCTAATCTTGCTGTCTTTCCAAAGGACAGTCCTGACTTTGGTCTTGCTGGGGTGTTTGAATTTCTAAGAGGCATCAGATTAGTTGTTAGTATCTTCGCATCGCACTGTAGACGACCTGCGCAACGACGTGCGATCTCCTTTCGAGATTAGATTGAACTAAATCCCGGAGCAACTCCGAATCTTATCCCGAATGCTTTTCTATCATCTAGTCAAAGTTAATATCAGAGCAAAGGATATACGCCAATCGAAGGACTATAAATGAGAGGCCAACGAGCAGCTGTCGTAATCTCATCCAGTTTATCTGCAGCTTCTCTCATCTGGTGTAGGGGCATAGGCTACTGACGGGGCATGCGAGTAGTATGTTTTCTCGTAAATTCCCTTTAGGTCTCTTGAAAAGTAAGTTCTGTTACGGAATTTGTGGAGTCGCTTTGTCACTTGCTTGGATTTGAGCAACAGTCAATGAATATCCAGAAAAGTTCAGGAAAACGCGTTCAAAAAGAGGATGGATATTCAGTTTTTGTAAACAAGATGCATATGAGAGTTTTGCTTCCCTGTCCAGTAGTGTGTAACTGTTCACTTGGCGTTTTCTAATAAGTAACTCCGCAGCAAAGGCCTTCTTCCTGTCACTCCAACCACTGAAATATGCAACTCAGTGACTTGTGCTCAAGAACATTGCATGTTTGTCTTTCTAATAAAAAGTTAACGCAATGGTAGCAGCACCATTCATAGCAAACCGAAATAAATAGGCCTTTCTTTCCATCATTATCAGTAGTCCTGCGCGGATAGTTCCACCCTTTTCTCGTAGTCCCAACCATCGTCGATTCTCTTTTGTGCAACACTTGAAGACAAAGGACGTTGAAACGACGCCATCCTCTTTTTTAAGACATTCAATGAGTTCCACTAAACCCTCATTGTATGTTTTCTTTCATCAGCCTTATCTGCCGGCTTTTTTCGTAAAAACGAAAGCCACTTGTAAACCAGGCAAAGATTGTCTAGATGAATGGGGAATAAGTCCAAATAAGGAATTCCACAATCCCTCAAGAAGTCGTTTTTTCAGACGTAATCTGACTGTGAGTATACCGAATCATCGTTTGCCGAAGAAAGTGCTGTTTTTCGTGCCCAATTCAGATTGGCGGAAGCAGAGAAGTGGCCAACCGTCGGCCTGGCAGAGAGGTAT